AGGGGGGGGTGGCGCGGGGAGGTGGGGGTGGCATGGGTTGTGCCTTTTGCTCTTTCCTTGAGGGGCATTTGGTGTCTTGGTCATGTGGGTTGGCTGTATGCAGAGAAACGGGTGCGTTTGCGGTGGTCCTTTGGCAGCCATCGAGTGTCAGCTTGGTGCTTGGTGATTGAAGTGGGGATATGGCAGATCCAAACCAACAAGAAGAAGCTGCGGCCAACATGTCGGCGGGGGGGGCACCTGTTCCGGCATCCGTGGAGTCTGCGCCACCACCGCCTGAGGTCCCCGAGCTCGCGTACTGGTGTTATCAGTGCCGACGGGAGGTGAACGTGGCAGCCAATGGCGAAGTGGTCTGCCCCACCTGCGGCAGCGGGTTTCTCGAGGACATGACAACTGCAGATATGGGCGGTGCTTTGCCTGGTCAGCGGGCCCTGCTGCAAGGACAGCAAACTAGACACCTTCGATGGGGTCTTGCTGGCCTGCCTCCCACTCGCCTCATCCGCATTCTGCAGCTACTGAGTGCGGATAATGCAGCTGCTGCAGCTGCTGCTGATGCGATGGAGACAGGCCCAGGCACTGGCGGCGAAGCCAGTCGTCGAGAAGCAGGGTCCACTCCTAGCGAGGGGACTCCGATTTCAGAAGCTTCTCCGTCTGAAGGAGGTGCAGGTGCCCAGCGTCGCGAGCGCACGGGTCTGTCGGCGGACAGGAGCGAGGCAGAAGTCGGGACTGAATCAAGCGATCGACCTCGCAGGCGACTAGGGGAGAGGACGGAGGGTAGGCTTAGGTGGCTAACTGTTGAAAGAGCAGGGTCTCGGCCAGCTGCTGTGCCAGGCTCAACGGAGGGACGCAGTGCAGATGACAACGCCGCTGCGGAACCTATGGAAGACGTAACTGGCCCAGAGGGCCGGGTTGCTAGGATCCGAAACAGTGATGACGAGTATGAGGAGATCAACGATGCGGAGATGGAGGACGCGGAGAATGGTGAGGCCAGCAGAGTCGATCGGTTGAGTGGCGATAATTTCTTCGTTTTGATGCAGAACCTCATTGGGAGGAACTACCAGCTGCAGGTCATCTTTCCTGCTGCCGACATCGTGGGTAATCCTGGCGATTACCTGGATTCCCGGGGCTTTGAGCAGTGGCTTAACCAAATTGCAGAAAATGACAGCGCCAGGAAGGGGGCGCCTCCCGCGGCGAAGGATGTTGTTGATGCCCTCCCCACCATACTCATCGATGGAGGCGAGAGCTCTCGCCACACTCCTGTTCAGTGTGCTGTGTGCAAGGAGAGGTTGGAGGTTGGCTCGGAAGCCAAGCAGCTGCCATGCATGCATCTGTATCACTCAGCCTGCATATTTCCTTGGCTGGCATTGAGGAATACCTGTCCAGTCTGCAGACTCGAACTGCGAACGGATGACATGGATTACGAGGAGCGAAGGCGGTGGCGAAGAGATCGAGGCGATGGTGACGGGGAAGAGGGAAGTGACAGGGGTGGGGGTGAAGATGGGCCTGCACATGCGTCGGGAGGACAGCGCAGTGCAAACTCGGGACGCGAAAGTGGAGAAAGTGGGGGTGATGATGGACCGCGTGGGGGTGCTGGTGGGAGCAGTGGGAGAAGCAGGCAGGAGAGCGGTGGGAGAGTAGAGGAAGCAGAGGCAGGATGCACAACTGCAATGCCTGCGGCACAGCAGTGCGGAGGCGGCGAATCTTCTCCAACGATGCCACTTGTGGTGGCTGGTTCGGACAGAACGCGGGAGCTTGGTAAAGTCGATCGGTTTCTCCCGAACAGAAGGAAGAGGAATGCGTCTCGTCGGCCTGAGGGAGGCCACGAATGAGAGTAGAGTCGTTATCGCAATGCTCCTGCATGTCCCGCAGGAAGAAATGCGGCTCTGCCGACCAACCTGTGACTGTAGTTGGGTATTCGCTCATGCCGATGCCGATTACCAGAGTGAGGGTAAGTGTAACCTGTACAGCCAAGTACTCATCATGCGAATCCGCGTCTTTCAATGGCTTGTAGAAGTACGTTTGATTGTAGTGTTTTTTTTTTTGTGGGTGAGGTTTCATTTGTTGACCCCAATTTAGAGCTGGAGGCGGTTTCAAAGGGAAGGGAAGAAAATGAAGGTAACAAACAAATTTTGTAAAGGAGACCGCGAGAATAGTGGGTATCATGCAGATATACAGTGAGATGTGTGGCGACCCGCTGGTGTTATAGTTGTGTCGACATTGGCGGTGTTTCTTTTTTGTTTTTCACGAGCAAGAATGTCGAATAAGTAGCTACTAGCTACCCGTCCGCTGATTGTGGAATTTCAAGGCAATCTTTGTAAAGGCCGATGTGTTTGGCGGAAGAGAGGTCATCGTCAAAGCTACACTTTTTTTTTTTTTTTTTTTTTTTTTGAATCTTTGGATTCTTCTCAGTGTTCACACATTTTTTTCAGATATCTTAGAGGTCGTAAGACGGGCACATTATGCCTGCTGAGGATCGTCGGTGCATCCTCAGGCGCGGTCTTGTTGTTGATTCTTTTTCTTTTCCTAGTATCTTTCTCAGTCGACAAAGAATAAGTCGAAGGAGGGAAACACCTCCACTTGATGTCAATTTGCGCTATCTGCTTTACCGAAGAACAATCGAGGGAAGAGAGGTCCTCGTCCGCTCCCCTCCTCCCCTCCCCTCCCCCTTCTCCTCCTCTCCCCTTTCCACCCCCAAAAAATAATAAAGTGAAGAGACTGTCGCGCTCCCCGGTGCCCTTCATGGTCTGCTCGCTGCAATGCTCGTGAGTGGGCATGAATATAATTTGGGCCCCATTCTTGCTGAATTGGATGTTCTGCTTACTTTGCACGTTTTGGCGAAGGACAAGTCAGCGAAAGAGAGGTACCCACGCTCGGGTAGGACAAGTCAGAGAAAGAGAGGTGCCCACGCTCGACTCAGAGGAACAGAGGTACCCACGCTCGGATTGGAGGAAGGGAGGTACCCGTGCTCAAGTCGGACGAAGAGAGGTACCCACGCTCGTCTCAGAGGAAGAGAGGTACCCAGGTACTGCGCCTTTGCTACGCATTCTTCTTTTGTACAGCATAAGTGGTTGGTAAGGCCTACTACAAGATTTTGAGGTACAGAGATCGAGCCTTCATATGGACGTCGGTACCAAAGGTGGGTGGCCCTACTTAGTCTGATGATGCATGATCTTTGATCCTCGGACAGTTCTTCGACCCTGGTGTTCTAAGTGCAGGTGCGTTTGTGCTTTTGGTTGGCGCCTTGGCATCGAAGTGGCGATTAACACCAATGCCGCCGTGAACGGTCAGGTTGTACACTGTGGATGGATCTCAGCAATGCTGACAAGGTTCTGACGCACTACAATTTGTTCCCTCCCTTCCCCCCTTCCCCCCTCCCCCCCATCCCCCCATAGAATTGGGGTCCCCGAGGTAGTGAGCCTTGATCGGATTCACTCTGGGAGCTTCGTCAGTGTTCGTGTTTTTGCACCTTTTCTTTTGTGGATGGAGAGGAGGAGGAGAGGAGAGGATGTTTAGCAGTTTTGAGGCTACTCGCGTCCGATGCAACCAAGGACACGTGCATATTATGTATAGTAGATAGGGCTATCAACCTGATGGGCTTCAGCAATCGCAGACCGGTTTGGAAATGCTTTTTCGTTTGTTTGTTCACATCTGTTCAGTGTACGAAACAGGAAACAGTTCTTGCTCACTGAGTGTGTTTGGGCTTGCCCACCCCCTTCCTTCGCCGAGCGAACTACATGCTGCATATAGAGTGAGGAACAGGACAGCCTTCTGCAATTGCAGACCAGTTTGGAGACACTTTTTTTTTTTTTTTCACTCCCTCACATCTGTTCGATGTATGAAACAGGAACCGCTCTTTCTTGCTCGCTGGTGATCGGCCTTTGCCCGCCCCCTTCCGTTGCCATGCGGACTAGATGCTGCGTATGGAGTGACAAACTGGATGCCTTTCTGCAATCGCAGATGGGCTTGGGGACCGTTTTCTGTTCTCCTGTTCGCATCTGTTCAATGTACGAAACAGGAAACAGTTCTCGCTCTCACTCCCTGGCGATAGGGCTTGCCACCCCTTCCCGCGCGCTGCGAACTACATGCTGTGTATGGAGTGACAAACAGAATTGACGAACTCTCTGCTCTCGGCGGCATGATATCTATTGCGTACTCGACTCCATTCATTGCCCGACGATGCGCAATCTATGCTTTGGTGTGTTATTCGAATGAGTCGACGATGAAACAAGTGGGGCAGCATCAACATGAACAGGTGATATGAAATCCTTCTCAGCAGAAGGTTGGTCAGGGAATGAGCTTCATCGAGGAAGTGAGAGCACAGAAGGTATTTGTGCTAGTCGTACAGACCGCAATCTTATATGGAAATAACGGCACGATTTGCGCTTTGGAAGGACGACCGAGGAACGTGTGCTGGAAGGAGAGATGGGAAAGAGGTGTCACATAGAGAGACAACAGGAGTGCTTGAGAACCTTTTTTTTTTTTTTAATTACAAGCATTATGGTATTACCGAAAGGAGATACGAGGACCATGCTGCTTGCTGAAGGACACATGAGAGAGAGAGGAGCGGACGGACGGACGCACAAGCGAAATAAACCGGTGAACGAGTCCCGATGGAAAAAGTTGACGAGCAGTGCGCTTCGGTAGTTCTGGGTATTGTGCTAATGAAGGAGGACAGATATGGAAAAAGGTGCGATTACAGGACGGGAGAGGAAAGTGATCTGGAGGGATGGACAAGGCTGCACTATGCCGGCGCGCATACGGCGCCAGGATGTCCCTCCTGGGAGGGGATGGGTGGGGAGGGGAGGAGGAAGGAGGAGGAGTGTGCTATGGAAGGACTGTGTGGATCGCCAGGAGGAAGGACAATAAGAATCGCCAGGACGAAGGCTGAAAGTGCTCATGGTGTGACGGAGGAGGAGGATCGCGCTGCTTGCAAGATGGAAGAGGGAGCGGATATATGATGACAGGTTGACCAGATTCGACCGCAGGACGGTGTGAATCGCTAGGACGACGGCGGAAAGCACCATGGTGTGACAGAGGAGGAGGAGGAGGAGGATCGTGCTGCTTGCAAGATGGAGGAGGTAAGGGGATATATGATGACAAATGGATCAGATTCGATCGCGGGACGTCAGGAAGGAGGAGGAATGTGGTGTTGTATGACAGTGTAAGATGGGAGTGTGAAGGCACAAAGTACTGTGCTATGTGCTATAAGAACGAAGAGAGCCATGCTATACTAATGTGGCTCTAAGGACGGACGAAGAGTGCGCAGTGGTAGCATCAGTAATACAGTATGCATTGCACTGAAGAAGAAGATGGAACGAGGGTTGCACTATGATGTCACGGTGGATGAGCAACTTTTTTTTCTGTGGTGGAGGTGGTGGAGCTGATGCATGAGTGGAAAGGCAGTTTGCAAGTTTTTGAAGGAAAGGGAAAAACACGTAAAGAGAGGTCCATGCTGTCTTCTTGAGCTTTGCTGAGGATTGGCACTGCTCTGTAGCAAGGGAACTGTAATATCTGACAATGACTGTCTGATTTTTCTTTTTGACGAATTTAGTGCTGCACTCCGGCATTCGTTGTATGGATCTCTCTCTCTCTCTCTCTCTCTCTCTCTCTCTCTCTCTCTCTCTCTCTCTCTCTCTCTCTCT